TGCTATTTGGCTTTTTGGTTGGCCTCTTCCTCTTCTTTCTTCCTTTCCCACCAGAAGGCTTAGGATGAGAGGGTCCGACTGTAACAGTCAAAGCACTTCCACTCCTAGCTTTTAGAACATATTCAGCAATTTGTAGCTCTTTCATTAATTCCATTAGAGACATGTCCATTTTGTGTAGATTATAATCAACTGTAAATTTTGAGAACATCTCAGGAAGAGTCTCAAGGACCATGTCAATCGGTATCTCGGAATCAATGCCAACTCCTAAAACCTCTGCAGCATTGAAGTGACCAATCATGGTTAACATATAGTCCCTTACAGATACACCCGATTTCATGCGTGTGTTTATAATTGCCCTAATAGAGGCTTGCCTAGCTTGTCGGCTTTGATGTCCAAACATCTCTTAAAGACTTTCCATTATGTCAAAAGTAGTTTGCATATTCTGATGTTTCTGTTGTAACACATTTGACATGGATGCCAAAATGTAACAATGGACCATCTCATCATAATGATGCCACTTTTCATATGCAGCCTTTTGAGATTCCGTGGAGTCATCTTTAGGGGTTTCGGGACAAACTTCATCCAGCACAAATTTATGTTTTTCAACGGTAAAAACAATATTAAGATTCCTTTTTCCAGTCAATGTAGTTTTCTCCCACAAGTTAATTTTTGTTAAGTATTACCGATAATGAATTAAGCGACATTTTCTGTAAAATTAACGATTCGCATATTAATAAAATGAGCAATAATCTTTGTGTGATGCATGTATATGAATATACAAATATCGACAAAAAACTATATTTGTAATAAAAAAATCTTAAACCCTTACAACTTTTAACACGCCCTCTATAGGAGGTCAATGTAGTTGTTGGCTGGGTTGGGGCCCTCCCACTCATTTTATTGAGCTAGGCATCTCATGCCATAAGAAAATGAAGATTGATTATTATTTGGCCTATGGACAATTTTGTTGAAATCTTCTATAGGAAGTCCCCCAAATTATTCATATATAAGTGTAATAACCTCCGTCAATAAATTTAAAATATCCGAAATATATAAAATGTCGTCTATAGGATGATCATCCCATTATTTTATTTTTAAAGAAATTCTATTACTAGATCCAATTTCAATTAATCTAAAATAATGTAGTGTTCTTATAGGGAGACCAATATAATTCGATACTAAACATATGTATTTTAATAATAAATTGGATGACGGAGGAGGCTATAGGTTTATACATGTCTATAAACCCTCTCCCACTTATTATTTTGTACCATTGGATTTTCATTTAATTAGCCCGCCAAATATAAATAATTATAATGACCCTAATTATAAAATATTTTTCAACCACCTCTAATTAATTTAGAGTGATATAAAAATATTTAAATGTAAATGCATATGATTTTAGTACACCGGGTGGTGTTTCATTTAATTTACATGACATGCGATAATAATTAAACATTCATCCATCCATAAAGCGGTAAAAGCGATAATTAAATGAATAATAATTACTAATAGCCCATCCTAAGAATTTAAATTAAAATTTAAATTTAAAAGAAGTGGTAATTACACAAAACCCTACCATTAAAATCATGAATTCTGAAATCAGATGGGAACTTTAATCTTTCTAAAATTAGATATTAGCATATTTAATTATTAATATAAAATATACATTTTTTTTTATCCCAAACCCAACCATTTTCTCTCTCGTATCACCCTCTCCCCAGTCCCAGCCATTTTCACTCTCTCTCTCTCATCGTCTTCTCTCCCTTGCCCCAACCATTCACGGCCCCATCACCACCTGCGGCATCCTCAGCTAGAAGACGCGTGAATCGCCGGCCAGATATTGCAGACCGTCATCGCCATGGGGATCTCGCGACGTATCCAAGCTTTGCCAAGGCACCAATCGGTGGGTTTTTATTTTTTTATTTTTGGTAAACTGTTGTTGGACGGTGGGCTGCGACGATGGATCTGGTCGTGATTGATTGTTGTGCTGTGTGTTGTGGTTGTGTAGTGTCGTGGGCTTGTGATGTGATGGTATTGTGTGTGTACTGTGGGCGGTGGTTGTGCGTGGTGGTGGTGATGTGTTTGTGGTGGGTTGTATGAGGTGTTGTTGTGGTTGAATGGAGGTGATGATACGAGTGGTGGTGGTTGTTGATAAGGGCGGTGAGATGGTAGTAGAGTCTAGTGGCAGATTGGAGATTTTTTCTGGTGGGGTGTTGCGATGGTGGTGGTGTTCGTGGGGACGGTGCGGTGGTTGTGGTGGTTTTGGTTGTGCTGGTGGTCGTGTTGTATGGTACGGTGGTCGTGGCAGTAGATGACAATGGTCGTGGCAGTGGGTGCGGCGGTGACGGTGAGCTGTTGGTGGTTGTGGTCTCAGATGTGTTGATTTGTTTTTAATCATGGTGTTTTCTGTAGGGTGATGGTAGTGCCGATAGCGGTGTTGGAGGCAGAGATTGTTTGGTGGTAGTCACAGATTAATTTGTTAACTGTGACCATTAAATTGGTTAATATGTGACCAATAAGATAAATTGTGATCTAAAAAATTAATAATTTGTGACCTATAGTATTTATGATTTGTGACCTAAAAATAAATTGTAAGTATAAATTTTTGATTTGTGACCAATGAACAAATTGTGACCTATAAAATTTTTGAATTGTGATCGTAAAATAATTTGTGACATAAAATTTCTGATTTGTGACAAAAAAATAATAAATAGTGAATTAAATCGTTAATTTGTGACCAAATTATATAAATCTCTGACTTAAATTTATTAAATTAGTAAATTAATTATTTAATTAATTAAATTATAAATAATTTTTAATAAAAATCTAATTTTTGAAATTTAAAACTTGTTTTTTTGTTTTTGAAATGTGCAATAATTAATTTCTTAGTTATGAAATTTTCCCTAAAAAGAATTACATTGGACCACAACCCGGCCCAATTCTTCAATTTTCTTTGTAGTCCACCTTATGTAACATGAAAATACGGTTAATTTAATTTTTAGGCTCAAAACTTAAAACCAACAAGGCCATTATCCAATGACATTGACCCAAGTTTTAAAGAAAGGCCCAAAAAATCCAAATTGCCCTAATTTTCAAACCCTAACAAGAAAACTCACATAACACCAAAGCACACACAACTCCGGTGACGGCGCAATCTCCGGCAACCCTAAAGGAAAGAAGGGCCGCCGAAAAGTGGCCCAGCAGCCGCTGCTGCACAAAGGCAGCAGCTCCGGCTACTGGGAGCAGCAACCAGCTACTACTTTTGTGTAGCAGCAGCAGCAAGCTGCTGTTGCACGCAGCGGCTATTGTGAGCCATGGTTGCCGCGTCAGCTGCCATAGCTCCGGTCACGACGGCCACCACCTCAGTCGTCGCCGCTTCTTGGTGTTTCTTGATATTCTTGCATTTTTTTTTGTCTTTCCTTCTTCTTCATTAAAATTACAGCAACAAATATTACATTTCTTCTTCCAATACAAAAATGAAAATGAAAAAAAAAATACAAAAAACTTAATGTCTTATGGCTTACAACATTTCTAGAGAATAACTATAATAAATGAATTACAATACGAAGTAAAAAGAAATTCTAAGGCCAAAAGTGATTATGAGTGTATCAACAATAATTTTAAACACATTTAAAGCATAAACATGTCAAAATCAAACAATCTAACACCACTCAACTAAAATGCATATTACATTAGAATTTAAAAATTTAATCATATTAAAGGCATACAATAACCTTGGCTCTGATATCATTTGTTCGTTGATGAATTTTAATCAATAAGAAATTAATTTTCCTTTGAAGATTAAAATCATGTAAATAAGGATTTAATTGATTTTGAAATCATTGGATTATAAAATCCTCACATATATAGAAAAGAGAGATGATAACCTTTTTGAAAGGGCTATTAATGGCCTAACCAATTGCTTCCTCCCTTAGATCTTCTCTCTTGTTCTCCACTAGGTGTTATTTATTTTTGAGGAATATGAAAAGTAGCTAACCCTAAAATCACATCAAAATATGTCAATAAAGTACATATTTATAATGACCTATTAGGGTTTGAAAATTACACAAATTTTCTTAGACTTTATAGTAGGTCAATTAAGTCACACACCTTTTATTGGAGCCAAGAAATGAACCTAATTGGACTCATATGACTCAAGCTATAATAAATGTTTTCAATTGGGTCAACTCTTGACCAATCGAGATACATCTATTAATCTCGACTTATTCTACCAAAAAATTGAGATGAGACTCTCGAGTCGAGTGATAGTTATAGAAGCAAATTGTGATTCAATAACAATGTCCTCTGATTATTGTTCCACAAGTCAACCACCTTTTGACCATCAATATGTTGAAACTGGCAAAATGACCGTTTTGCCCTTCAACATGTATTACCCTCTAAGTCCCATTTTTATACGACAAATTCGTTGTGATCAAATCACAATGTAAAGTCCAACGATCTCATCGTCGACCTACTGAGTTCAAATTCAATTTGTCTAGGAAAATACCTTAGAGTGACGATTGTCTCATCTCAATGATTAATGAATTCCAATATTGTAAGTACATGATATCTAATTGTTTCGACCCGATTTTCAAAGCACTGAGATCAATCTTCCATTTAAGACTTCACTCATTGATACCTCAAAGAACTTGAACTAGCAATCAAAGATACATTACTCACTCAGAATTTAGGTGACCTGTTTGATAATCAAGTAGAGTCTCATTTCAAACGATCACAAATGAGTCATCTACGCGGTCCCGTTCAATGTGCATCGAAGCACATTATTGTTCCTATTTCAAGATCTAGACAAATCTTAATAATAACAATACAATCTTATTAACATAAAGCGTCTAACTTTATGAACCGATTGTGAACGACATAATTTTGATCATATCACAAATTGTGTCTTACTATACCCGATCCATCGAGTATACAATTTGTGACATTCTATATGATCATGGAACCTTAGACAATCACTTCAAATTATAACACGCAAATAAACGAACATAAATTCATAATGTGATTTTACAGAACATTACTCGAAAAATGGGCATCAAACTAACAACTTCAACATCATATGTATCCCCATTATAAATCCAAGCTATACAATCAGAACTCAATATATACAGTCTAATCAAAGGTTTTGGGAAAAGTTCTTCCTCGATGGATGGTTTGAATGTTTACTAATGATACAACAAACAGAGTTATTGTACAAGAAAAATTACTTTCAACAGATACTTTAAAGATAGGCTCACAAACCATAACTAGCAGGTAACAACTGGATACTGAACCATTATTGCAACGTTAATATCCTGGAGACATCAATGAAGATCTTGGAATCCAAAATATTGATGACGTGTCGCAAATGATTTTGAAGAAACTGGCCAACGATTAAGAACACAATTGCTGGTAAGGTAAGGCTGCAGTTGATGACATGGAGGAATATGTCCTGTAGATGAATTAGAAAGATCAAAAACTCAGTTGTGTAATGATAAAAACTAATTTAGTAAAAACCCATGCACGCAATTACCTGACAGTAGGAAAAATCCTTTGCCGTTAATATTTATTGAACGATATAAAGCTCTTGTCTAGTTATGAAGTAGCGGCCAATTATGTTCCCCGGTTCTACAAGGAACTGCTCTTGAAACGTCCCTACTCGTTTGCTAGGTATATCAATTGAAAGGTCTCTAAAATTTGGCAGGCCCTCTACTTGTACACCATCTCCACATATCAGGAACTGATTTCCAACAATAAATGACCCTGAGACCCGAATTGCAACTCCATTTTCACCTTGAGCACGGCATTGAAGTTTCTCCACGACGTGCACAAGTTTTTCCGGAGGCCATTCGCCAGCCAATGTTCGACGAATATTTGACAATGCTGTAAAAATATCATCTTGACCAAGAGATTCTTTCCCACCAAAACTAGAAATTGTGACGGCTTGTATAAGAAATAGGGAACTCACACAAAATCAAATTCAAAAGTTTCAATTCCTCAAATCACACAAGTATTATTTGGATGTGCATATGCAGTAAATTTTTTAGACACTTCTCTTCAGATCTAGTGTAACGACCCAGCCTCTGTGAGCAAGCCGTTAACTCATTATATACTGTACGCTTCGTGAGGACTTCTACTCTCTTATCCCTCACAACTTCTCTCATGTCTCCAAAAATTCGAATCCAAGATCTTAGTCTTACGAGACACTTAAGATGAATCTTGTTATCAATTGAGTAACTTGGACATAGAGGCAAGGTCGCTATACCTAGGTAGTTGGTTCCCAAAATGAAGATTACACAGCTCTCCACTTTCCATCAATAACCAGATCAAAACTGTATAGAAAATAATGTAAAAGGTAATTGATATTAGCTATACCTGAAAACTGCATCTTCTACATATAAGGTCTTCATATGATGCCAAAGATCGTCAGATCCATCAAAAAGTAAGTAATAGTGTATTGTTAGCATCTGTTCAAGTCAAACACGGCATAAAGTGAGCATCAAATGGCATTCATACATTACAACTGTAGAATAAGAAAATAAATTCATTGCCCATGCAAAATTTAGGTAGCATTAGGTATGCATAAAATATTATTCATCCATTCATGAAGATAACAAGCTAGGACAAATGCCTAGCAAACTGGATGGATTATCAAAAAACGCAAGTATTAACTCACATCTGCCAGATCCTTCATCCTCTGTGTGGGATCAAATATGCTTCGCACAAACGTGCCCAAGTCAACCCCTGCATCCTCATACTTAGTAATAAAGGGGTGTGAAAGAAGCTGCAGCATATGCACGAAGATAAAATAAAAATACTGGATTGAACGTCTTCAAGTAAAAACTCCTATGGTTCATCTTTTCCTTCAAATAAATTACATAATACATGTATGTTAATTAAACTTTCCACTAAAAAAGGAAAAAAAAACTTTCCACCACTATGTCCCAACCATTAAGTTTTAAAAGGGGGAAGGAAATTATAATTAGGTCTATCTTATCCTTTATGTGCTGCTCCAATGGCCTACACAACAAATAAATAATGTTCAATTTTCGTAGTCAACCTTCCACATAAAAAACCAATATTATTCTCTAAAACCTTCATTTCAAGCCTAAATTATTTCTCAATTACTCTCACAACATATATAAAGTTTGAGGGGATTTATCATTAACTTATTACACTATAGTTTGCATATTTCTAAAGATCTGGCTTATTTTTACAAACGAAACATTAATAGAAGATCAGAACCTACTATAACAACTGATCTTTTATTAGAACTTATCGCAACAAAATGCACCAAAGTTATCATCAACAGTTTGGTACATTTGGTTATCAACCATCATTATAAAGGAAGTTACTTCAACGAAAAAAGAAAAGGGAGAATAAGAACCTAGATTGCCCAATTTAATTATATTACTATTCTCCTATGCACGCCATGTTACTCTGATTCTTCTCAGTGCACAAAAATATCTGTCTTGGACACTTAACCTCGAACAAGGGACCTGACAGTGTCCACTATCTTGTATCAATCATAATTAGCACTTTACAGACGTTTTTGTTCCCCAACCATTTAATAAATTTGAAGGGCATTCATAATATCTCATACGATATACTTTGATGTTGAGACTGTAATATTTTATCAACTCATACTTCAAGAAAGCAACATTGGACCAGATAACAATACTTGAGTGACTGGGTACAATAAACAAGTTCTTCGCCAAAGACTTGAACTCCTTAGACATGTCGACACGTAGAAAAAGAATACAACTAAAACTCATACGAAGGGTCCTCACAAACCTTTGTTCTTGTCTCAATGGAAGGAAAATAACTGTTATTCACTTGCCAATGTTCAATTTTTAATACACATAGTTCAAATCTAATTTTCACATTAAGCAGAACACGAATCCAGAATTTACCTGTTGCTCACCTGCTCAGCTGTTGGCCTTGAATCTGGATTTTTCTGGAGGCAAGCATCAACAAATAAACAGAACTCAGGAGAAAATTTTTGTTTTGACAGGGATGGAGATGGATCATCAAGGATCTGTTGTTACAGAATAAAAACGCCACGTCATAAGGTCAATATTCAATTTCTTTGATAAGTACCTCAACACATTTGAATCGTCTCGAGAATAATTTGATAAAAGAAAAGAAATAGCTATTTATGAAACATTTGCACAATGAAGAATAAATACATCAAACCCTGATTCGAAGTAGAACTTGTATTCTAGCAAGCATTACATAATAATTCCTTACGAAATTAAGAATAACTGAATGACAGGACCATAAAAGAATATATGTTATCTGGGAGGAAATCATAGAATTTTTACCTGCAGCATAAGATTAACGGGCCCATCATTAGCAGTGTACGGAAATTCTCCTGTAGCACACTCAAAAAGTGCAAGTCCAAGGCTCCAAATATCAGCAGCATAAGAGTAACTTTCATTTCGGATTCTTTCAGGTGACATGTATGTAACGGTTCCAACAAAAGTTGCACACTGATAGCAAAACAAACAATAAGTCAGAAGAATTCATAACACAGCATAGCCATAGGAGAAATAATACATACCATAGCCATAGAATTCTCTAATCCAGCACTTATACCAAAATCTGTAATCTTTGACTCCCCCTTGAGATTTACAAGCAAATTTGCAGGTTTTATATCTCTGTGTACTAAATGTCTAACTCCGTGCAAGTAACTCAGCCCCTTAGCAAAAAATCAAAGACAATCAAAATACAAAGAGCAGAAAAAATTTACTCTTTTGGTAAGAATACAAAACTGAAACCAAATAAAGCATCTTACATGCAACAGCTTCTGCACCATAGCAGAAAGAACTGGCTCCGGTATAGACTTTCTTACACGAATGATATCTGCTAGAGATCCACCATCCATGTACTCTAGAGCTATGCTTATCTGCCCAGATTCTGGAGTGTAAAAAGCTCCATAAAATTCTACAAGACCTTGATAACAGGGTGCCTCACACAACGTCCGTATTTCAGTAAGAAGTTGTTGCCTTTTCTCCTGATATGAACATGAAAATAGTGTGAACTGGATATCAACCCAATCTTTTCCCCACTACGCTTCTCTAAAATATTTTAAACTTCCTCACACGCTGTAGCCACCCCTTCTCTCTCTGACGCTACAAAAGTACTTGCTCCAAATTCATTTGTTCATCTAATAGTATCCTTCAAACTGGTTGTTCGAATCATTATTCTAAAGTGCTAAGATGGAGAAGAAAATCTGTATCAGAGAAACTTCTTCACCAGTCCACGACAATTTTTTAACAAGTATTTTTTGGAAATTTGAATACTAAATCCCGAAAATGTTTGTATAATTAAGGTGAATCATCTCGAACTAAATTTTAATTATTAACAACCGTTAACATAAAAGAAATACTTTAACAACCCCATGAAGAGAATGTATACTACATGTATTGATACACAATATACAAACCTTTTCGAAAATATTAATCTTCTTGACAGCAATAATTCTGTGATTGGGAATATGAATGGCCCTTTGAACAACACTACTTGCACCACTGCCTATGGACCCAAAAATCCTAATCTCATGAGAAGCACACCTGTAAGTTTTTTCAGTATCATCTTCAGAAAATGGAGACGATGAACTGCACTTTTGCAAGCCAAGCTCATTGATATTATAAACATTGTACGATTTGCTCAGCAAATTCACTGTTCCACCATCCGATAACTGATTCCAATAAATTAATAAAAAAAAGTAAAAATTAACCGAAAATCAAACATTTTCAGCGAAATTTTGAACAGAAAAATACAACAAGAGAGGATTATAATTTACCATGTAGGAATCAGACGGGTCAATTGTTGACCCGGATGAGAAACCCTTTTCTGCATCAAATAAAGGGACGAGCTTTTTCTTTAATTCTTCTAATTCAGCCATGGGAAATTAGAAAATTTTGAAAAATGTTATAACATTTATAACTTTATCCTCAATCCAAGAAATTACTGAGAACTGGAATTTTTAAAGCTATTTCGCTAAAAATGAGCTGAATTTTTTGCGAGGATTTGAAGTGTGATTGTTCTTTGTTTATTTTATAATTTTATTTATATCACTTTCCCTGAGCATACAACCTGCCACGTGTCCCATGGGTCGACCTTATTAGATTCTCGTTTGGGAGTCATCAATTTTAGAAGAACCTTGTTACTTGAACATTCGGGACTACATAAGAGTGTCCATAATGGACGCTCGACGCCTCGACACATTGGGAACTACATAAGGGTGTCCATAATGGATACTCGACGCCTACCACGCAGGGATCTATAGGCGCCTCGACCAATGAAGAGGCGCCGAATGTCCATTATGGACACCTGGATGTAGATCCCAATGTATAACAAGTATAATCTATTTTAAAATCTGATTTGGATCGGATTTTTTTGTTATAGGACTTGTTAGAGTCAACTTTTTGATCGTTAAAGAGAAAAAGGAGCTCCATTTGTGAGTGAAGAAGTAAAAAATAATGACTGATTTGAAAAGTAATGGTCCAAAATTATTTTTTGGATGAAAAATTAGAATCAATCGGAAGCTTAGATTATCGAGCTTCTATATCGTTAAATCATTTGATTTTTTAAATTAAATTTCTAAATATTTAAATTGAATACGTATGATTGATATCTAGGTTCATTTTTTTTATAAGGCCCGTTTGGTAGCCATTTTCTTCAAAATGCATTTTTCTCTCTTTTCTTTTCAACCACACATTTTTTTATTAAAATCATATTACACGTAAATCAAATTTTTTTTTGTATTTTTAAACCATACATTTCACATCAATTTACTATTCTAAAAATCATTTTTATTTAAAAATGCATATTAAAGCACCCCCAAAAGTTCAATCTGAGTACAATTTATTGGGCAGAGCCAATCTAAGTATTTTCCAAACTAAGTGAGCCTTGATTTTCTTTTTCCTATTTTGGTTTTAAATTTTGAATTAAAAATTAAAGCATGTAGAAATGAAAATTTTAGTAATAAATTGTAGAGGATAAATATAATTTTACTGAGATACTAATCATACCATAGTAATATTAAAGTTGAATAGTTGTGGCATGAAATTCTAGATGATTGATAAAAGTAGAAAAAAATTATGTGTTCATATTTAAAATTATTTTATTAAGAAAATGTATCATCTTTAAATATATAATTATTTGAATAAAATTTCGTAACAAATTTTTTTTCCCATCAGCCGACGTCTATATCGTACATTCAACTTGCAAAGCTAAAGATTAATTTTATAATTAATGAATAAATTATGAATTATTTGACTTCCCAAAGAACCCAAACGCTTCATACACACGCAAACATAACATGAGCCACGCCCCTAAAATTGCCCCTTGAGGGTTTCAAAGGTCAAACTTGTAATTTTAAGTATCCCACGTGAGGAGTTGCACTTTTAAGAACCATTTTGGATAAGATTTTGTAAAATCAGTAAGGTTTGTTTGATTGGGAAAATGAAATTGAATTGAATTGAAAAGAAATTATAGGGAATTGAATTGAGTAAAAATTGTTTATCTGAAAATTGTAAATTATTGTGTTTAATTGGTATAATTTTTTATGTGAAAAATGTTACGACAAAAGTATTTTCTGGTGTTTGTTTAACTTTGTTTTACATAAAAATTGTCAATTAAAAGGATACAATTTACTGGTATTGGAGATGAAATTTGATTCCATTGCCAACAAAAAAATCATCTATCTTTTCATGTTCGTTTCACTTTATTTTACATGAAAATTGTCGATTAAAGGGAAATATTTTTTTTACAATAATTCTTTGAATTTGTTTCCTTTGATAAAAAAAAAGGTGAACAGTTGGTGGGAATTGTCCCATTTATAGTTTTAAACTTTTAAAATAATTACTGCACAAGGACAACATGACAAAAATTGTCAATTACACCGTTAGTTGACCAACCACCCAACATATCTCACCACAGCCAAAACCAAACCAGAATCTACCCACTCCATCATGTCGCGTGACCATCACCCATCCACACCGTCGCACAACTCAACCACAAAACCAACGACCATTGCCATTTCCACCACAAAACTCCATCATTTTCAGTCGGCCACATGCCGAGTTACGGTATATCAATCTCTTCCAATCTTCTTCTATGATAAAATTTTCTAGTTGATTGAATGAAATCTTAGTTTGAGCAATCGTGGAAATAAGTTGGGAAATATCAAACACCTTATGACATTTGGTGACGATATTCATATGCTACCCATATCTACATTTTGTAAAACACCCAATTATATAGTGGTCACACCACAAGGTACAAACAACGACAAAAGTAGATTGAAGATGATACTACACGAAATTCAAACATAGTCTCCAAGTTAAACAAATGGCAAAGGGCTTCTTTATCAAGTAAATGGGTTAAATATATTAGTGGTTAATGAACTATAGTACATGTTATTACTTACTAATTAAATTTTAAAATGTATCAGTGTATCTCATCGTCACTAAACATTAAGTCGCATTATATCGTTCTTCTTGGATTTTGCTTTTGCTGTCTTCTTCTTGTTCTTTGGCAGAATATGGAAATTGAAGAAAAATAGTTAGGGTGTGTTTGCTTAGAAAATTCTTCATGAAAAATAATATTTTTTTTTCACCTGAATTTCAACTTTTGGAGTGTTTGATTTATTTTTTTCATGAAAATATTTTTCAACCTTTAAAAATATGTTTAATTTTCTTTATTTTTAGGAAAACAAACATTTTCTTTCTTAGAAAATAATTTTCATGCCAATCAAATACAGCATTGGTTTTTTTGTGGGATTTGAGGAAAGAGAGAACAATCATGTTACAGTGATCGAAAATGGTTGACAAAGGAGGTGATCGATCCTCACATTGACGGGACACATTTTTTATTTTGGATTTTTTTATTCACGCAGGATTCACGTGCATGTGAGAGGATGTCAACCATTTAATCATCCATTTTCAAGCAGAGTAGTTTTAATTCAAGGGGGAGATGGGCAATTTGCTCTTTCGGATGGGGAAGAAAAGAAAAAAAAACTTGTTTGGATCGATTTTGCCTCTTGGAACATTGTTCATGGAACTTGTTCGATGGTGAATAAAATGATTCTGTATATAAAAAAAAAATCAATTTAATAGGTTTTATAATTGTCATAAAAATCGAGTATAAATTGATAAAACGATTATGAATAATAGGTTTCAAAATTCAAAGTAATAATGTGAAAAGTAGGCAATATAATAAATCCTGAAATAAATAATGTCAAAAGTCAAAATTGTAAGCCCGCCCTAAACCATATAATTAAAACCGCCGGCATGAAATAAAAACAGACTGTACCCACGAAAGAAGCTCACAGATAAGATACAGTCGTACACGCATGACCTCGCGAACCGCCCGCAAAAAAACAAGTTGCCACAAAACTTGTGGCGGTTTTATCTCTTAACCCTTCTACATTGGTCTTCTTCATTCTGAAGACCCTCTTCTCCAAGTAACCGCATGAATTTGGCAACTTATCTGCATTCATCACACATTATATATAAACCAATTTACTTCCGGTTTCAGGGAATAGTTTCAAATTTAATGCTTCCACTTCCCAGCTGTTCTTTTTAAGTTTTAACGTTCTTTTTCTTGGTTCTTTTCGGCCTAATTTATTTTTTCTTGAATTTTGTTCAAGATTGTGCTTATGAGTTTTTTAGTTTATGTTTATTTGAGCTATTAATAGTTTCTTTCAATCTATATTTACCCTTTTTGTGTTTGTCCATACTCATTCTTTCAATCTACGTAACTTCTTTCTTTGTTCTTTTTCTTGGTTTTGAAAATAATTTTCAGACCCAATATCTCGTTTTTTCCCCCTAATTGGATTGTAGACCAAGTTAGCTACTTTTCTTTTTCAATGGGATCAATTGATTGTTATGCAATGGGAAATCAACCTTCATCCCAAATCAAAATCCTTAAACTGTTTGATGATTGTCCACATAGTTCAAACATCAAAACTCCATGTTCTGAGGCTAATCTTGAAGATCAGTGTGAGCAAACTTCTTTTGCTTCTGATTGTGAAAGCGGGATTTCTGGTACCGGAAACATGCAAGAAAATCCTATGTTCGAGAATGGGTTAATCAGAGTTCATGAAAAGGATAAGATGTACGAGATAATCAAGAACAAATTTCTTTCTGGTTTGAGCAATTGTGGATTTCATAATGAAGTTGAGGCCATACATAAGAAGGTTTATTCCGGTTTTATGTGTCAAGCAAAATTTCAGTCGTTTTGTATATATGCACGAGCAATGGAGCAGCATTTCAGGGGCGGCGCCAATGTGAAATACGCATGGTATGGCGCTTCCAAGAATGAGCTCAACGACATTCTTTCACATGGTTTTGGCCATCCCATGAATACTGGAGTATACAGAGGTGGAATTTGTCTTTCTCCTGCCGATCACCCTGCTGAAAGGTACTGCTATATGAAAGTAATCCAATTAGACTATTCTATTGAGGTTTAACTTCATGCTAACTTGATTTTACATATGTAACAGTTTTCCATCATCTGTTGCTGATGAGGATGGGCTTAGGCATTTGTTACTTTGTCGTGTTCTATTGGGAAGGACGGAGATTGTTCGTCCTGATTCACGACAGTCTAATCCAAGTTCCGAGGAATTTGATTCAGGGGTTGACAATTTAGCTTCTCCTAAAAAGTATATTGTCTGGAGCACGCGCTTGAATACTCATATCTTGCCAGAATACGTTGTTAGTTTCAGATCTTCGACTGGTTTGGAAGGTGAGGAATATAGAAACTTTTCCTTTTTGACAGATTGTTATTCGTTTTTTTAAAATTTTAAATGAAATTGGCAATGTACTTTCAGGTTATCAAAGGATTTCTCGTCCTCTGAGAAGACCAAGTTCGGATTTTGTTCCGTTTTCTGCTCTCATAAAAGTGCTTTCGAAGTTCTTACCTCCTGATGCGAACAAAATGATAGCCACGCATTATGGCGATCATAAAGTACGCATTTATACTCTACTAATGGAAAATACGGGCATATATTTCATCGGTGTAATTTATGTTTCTTACTTCTCAATCTTTTACCTCAGGAGAAGAAGATGACACGGCATGAATTTATTCAACGATTGAGAAATATAGCAGGGGACAAGTTATTGCTAGTAGTCATAAAGTCTCACATGGACAAGGTACGTTGTACTACATGAACTAAATCTCGTTTCTTTAAGTAAAATCTTCCAATTGTGTAGTTGTTGGCGGCTCAGTTGATGAATTGAAATCGTAGCAACTACTTTTTGAAGTTCACTATTTGTTAAGAATCAAGAATGCATATTTTACGTCCATATGCTATAGATGTTCAGATTCTTTCTGAATATGATGCTATAAGATTTTAAGAAACGACGCTGTTTATTACAGACTTAACAATGGATAGCTGATGAAATTTTGGAAAGGACATTGTCAAGCGTGAATTATCAGGAATAAGTGTTAAGAATGAATAATGTTATTCATCACCACGGTGCTAAGCACCAGTTTAGGTGACACTACATAAGATTAAATGATAGATTTATTTAAATGTAAAGTCACATTGCATATTTAATTGAACCTATAGGGTGTAGTCACTTAGACTTTTGCTAACTAGCATTATTTTTAATGTTATCCATGCTAGAGAATATTGTCATTTTACTTCTGGTGATTACGCTGTTTCCTTTTCAAAGTTGTTTTGGTTAATTACTGTTCACTGTTCGGGTCTTAATTTTTGGTGCACTCTATAAAGAGAGACGACAGGTTATGACTGTAAAACTGATGCAACTGACATTTATACTAACCCCTTTTCAGGGGTAAAATTAAGAAATTGCTTGACATGTGAAGAAAAACACTTCTAAGATTTTATGAGTCGAACTTTATGATTCTAGACTCAGATCAAAGGCCCTTGAGGCAGGGAAGATTGTCATAGAGAAACTCATAGAAATTACTTCAAAAAGTCGGTGAAATATCAGTATGAATTTTTATTCTTGTGGAATACATCTTCTGTCAAAATCTTGTTCATCCGTGTTTTAGTTTTTTCTTGCTCTTGTTGATTATAAGGTTTTGTCTCTGCCATTTTGCTTGGTTTCATAGTTCTGACCAACAGATTGTTGTTTGGTATTGGCAGATGAAAGCACCACAAATCAGCTTCTTACGTAACCGCAATAATCGAGGGGAGAACTCGGGCTTGCAGGAATGGATGACACCTTTGCGATAGGCATAACTAACACTCAACAGATACGTTGACAAGGATACTACTAACATTCATAGACGAGCTCAATTATTCGATCAGACAGTAGACGTAAATGGTACTTTGTCGTACTTTTTCCTTCTAGATACTGTAGTTGAGACTTTAGACCAGGCATGGTCTGTCTACAAATGTATTTGTTACTTAAGAATGCTATTAGGCGCAGTTTGCACGTCAACTACTAAATACTATTGTTTCTACGCCAATCTTTTAATGTTGGATCAAGTTTGAGGTCTTTAATGAAAGAATAATGCTATTTGTAGTCACTCACTGAGGCAATTGCCCTACGTGGTATACATATGACAGGTGGTTATTTGATGCATTAATGAATAAAAAAGCTTTCACATTAATGTATCAAATAATCACCTACCATGTGTATGCCACGTAGGACGACTAGACTACCGCAGTGAACGACTACGAATAACAGTACTTTTAATGAAAAGGCGTATTCGGTTGTAGTGACAGACTTGGTCATCGTGCATTTATTTTTATTATAGTATCTCTGAAGTCCCTATACTATGTAAAATACATCAATGGTCATTGAAATTATGTCATCGCTACTACTTAATAACCAAACTTTTGAATTTAACTCGTTGGTCACTGAACTATGAACCTTGTTATTATCCATCCATCATTGTGATGGAATCCGTCTCACTCAGTTGATAGAATTGCATTGATAAAACATCCTCTGATTTTGGGTTAATTGGTAGTTTAGTTGACTGATTCTTGCTCTGGTTCAACCTTTGTTTTTGTTTCAAAACCCAATTCAAGATATAAAATTTATATAAATAAAGAAATAAATTTACTCCTTGAACTTGAAAAGTGATAATATAAATACAGTTTATACCCAGAGAAAATAAATTTAGAGGGAAAGGTAATGACATAATTGACACAAGTTGAAGTACATGGACCCAATTTGAGATAAAATTGAAGTGTAATGACTCAATTGAAACTCGGGGTGAAAGTACAATGACCCCTAGTGAAATTACTCCATCACAATTTATTTATTGACATGCTACAATAGTCCGGCAATCTAGTCTAGCCTTCAAAGAGGAGATGATGTTAATATGGAAAGCAAGGACCGCGGGATGCTCATGATATTACCTGTATTGGACTACTCGAACTTGAATAGCTCGACTCACATTAACACCTTTACATATCACCAAATTGACATAATACTATAATGAACTCATTCTAGGCAATTGATAAAGGAGTTTTACTCGACCGAAGATAAAGAGGTTCTGAACTCGACTAAGTAAGTAGCTGGAAAGGAGTCACTTGACTGGCAGGAAAGGCGGGATACTATTAGAAAGGAGAAGTTCGAAGAGAGGAGTGGGGGGTATATGCCTTAGTAAACCTCGGGATATTGATTGCCAGTTAAGCCCTCGTGCGTGGTGAAAGAAAGAGTTTTCCCGAACCCGAAGAGAGAGCAAAGAGCGAAAGCTAGGATCGGATGGCATAAAGAGAAGAAGGAGCTTACTCTAAAGAAGTAGCCAGGCAAGATTCTGGGAGTTAAGTCCGAGTCCAAGTCTGAGTCTGAGATCGAAGAAAGAAGCTCGACATCTGAATATGGGGCAATACCGGAGAGCACAGAGCGAGAGGAGAACAAGTCTTAAGGATCAGAGTGGAAGCCTTCCTGATAAAGAAAAGGGGTACTATACTAATTAAGTAATCTCAAGTCAGTAAAGCCGGACATGTAAGGGGTTAACCCAAGAGGGGGGACTGACCAAAGCAAAGCACCTAAGCTCATGGGATTCTATTCGAGTACATTTCCATTTAACCAAATAGGCTTTGGAAAGAATATGAGTGGTCTCCGTCCTCATCCGCATCCACTTTTAACTAAGAAGTTGAGGGACAAGATCGAAGGTATAGTTTACCAGCCGAAGGTGGTTATGGTTTTGAACTAAACCAGTGTGACTCAGAAGTAGCCGGAGAAAGGCGGTAACTCGTTCTTAAGCAAAAGCAGGGGCTAACTCCATTGATGTGGTAACGTCAGCAATGGCAAAAGAACATCCTTTTGCAGAGATCAAAATCCTAGCTAGCGGCCCTGTGCTTAAGGTAGCAGGTATAGGTATTATGGTAGCTTTCTTTCTAGCGGTAGGTTTAGTTCCGAACACTTCTGGCTCCATTAATATACAGTTATAGGATGATTATGATTAGGCTAGGCACACTTTATAAAAATAGTTTAGTTTATACTCATAGTTCGTCTTTTCAATTTCTTTCTTCCCCAACCATTATTTTAACTAGAGATTTTTGTACTGTAGAATGTTTGCTTGTGCAGTTATCCACTGATATTTACTTTATCTATAAAGATTTGACGGAAGATCTTCAATATAGTATGTCTCGCGACCAATTAGCTGTTATTCAACAAAAAAGACTTTATGGTATATATGTTCTATCTCCGCTACAAGTTAAGTTCATAAAGAAGGCGGATATAACTCCGTTTTTACATGATACGCTACTTGATCGTCCCGATATCATGCTTGGTACTGGCTCTGATCCTGATATGATTTATGCGGTTCTGCCTGATCAAAATGATGTATTGGTGTTAATGGGATTATCCCTAATGTTACTTCGTCTTTCTCATGGTCGCATGCCAAAAGATGGTTACCGGATGGAAGATCTGGATGATTCCTTTTATTACAGTCTTCAACAAATGGGAAAGGTGGATAGACTTTACAGGCTTGACTTAACTGCATCATTAAGGATGATTCCAATCAGTCTTATTTTGGATAAGGTTAAGCCTTTTGTTGGGGATGGTTCTGTTTATAAACTCATTTCATCTTTTCTTAATCTCCCTATCATTGATGATGATGGAAATCATAGGTCAGATATAAGTTTAGGCGGTATGCCGCCTGTGGGCGAAATCACGAGGGTATTATTCAATATTGTCTTAATGGACATCTTCGATCGTGAGTTTCCCAAAAGGTTTCCAGGGGTAGCATTTTGTAGATTCTCCAATGAAGTCTTTATTTCGACTAGAGGAAATGATGAAGTAATCTTCGACGATAAAGCTGGGTATGCCCTATTGGAGGAACTCGGGCTGGCTGGAATAATCCAGTCTATTGGACCGGGTGATGCCCCCCTTCTGTGTTATTCTAAAAAGATGATTTTATTGGACTATGATAGTAGAGTACACTCTTATGAGATAAAATAAGTATTTGATACTTTTCTCAGTATAATTTATATTTCTCTCAATATTTTGAGAGACGCAACTCTGCTAGTAGTCCCAAAAGGCCGGCTCCTCCTGAATTCTACCCCTTAAAAAAGATCAAAATCAGTGATGGATGTGGATTGGAAAGCCAGGTGAACGCGGAGTTGTTAATATGTTTCTCAACAAGGTGATGTAACATACATCACGTACTTATTATCTTATCATTTGAATTGCTCCAGCCCTGAAGAAGAAAAAACAAAGAACTATGATCACACAATACTACTATTGTATTAAAACGCTAAGCTGTGCGTTTCAAATAAACAGCTTATCAGATAGAATCTATGTAGGCACCCTTTCCTTGGTCTCGGAGAGTTACACTATTCTTTTTCATATTCGACATCGACATTATTATTCTTCTACTAATGATATATCTAAGATCAGAAGTGATTATAGTCTAAATTCTAGTAGAAATTATAGTAGTAATAAACAAAAGAAAATATATTGTTCGTTGCAACAGCTAGCGCACACTCTAGGTATATTATACAAATCTAAATGTAGATTTCCAGAATCGGTATAACTTTACAAAAAGTTAGAGACATTCAGAAAATCATAAGTGAAGGAACTTATGCCCTGTCACCTCTTCGACTTAGTGTCTTCGCCGATAAAACCACCCCTAAAATGGATAATTTGAACACGAAAATTCTATCTCTCATAGATGAGAAAAATCACATCTATTATGTGGTTGTCAAAGCAACACGAGAAGACAACTTTGTTCTATATGGGCTTGGACTTATGGTATACACGTGTATGAGGGGCAACTTTGAAATGAATAATTATGTTGGACCAACAGTCTCTAAAAGAGATTCTAATTTAATAATATGTGCTAGAGGTTATGTCTCAATACTTTATAGATTTGTGGGATGGGATGAGATTAGTTTTCTTAGCCATGGTTTCATCCAACAAATCTAAGATGTTTATTCTTTCATCCTCGAAGAGCTCAAGGAGTTCATGAAAGCGGAACTGGAGGGCAATCAACATCTGTCAATGGTGGTTTGCGGTCACCTCACTTGTAGGATAGTCAAAGGTATCTTTATGCCTATTATCTATGGGAAAACTTTAATGAGAACGGCCCACGATCTAAAAGATCATCTCTCTCACTTCATCACTCATACAGAATGCTTCGAAGTAGTCGCTGTCTGCTGTAAGTTCTAGAGGTCGAAATATAAGGACGTGGAATGCCTGATCCGGTTGATCCGCCATATAGGCTGGGTCACGTCTGCTAGGGATTGCCCTATTTTCTATAAAGTGCCTTACTTTACCACAGTACAGGATTATATGGTAATGGAGGCCATAAATATATGGGTTCGTGATAAACTTCATAAGAAGAGGCACCGGGTAACTCTCAGGGTTTCTTCTTCTAAGAGAGATCATAGGAAGACTGAAATCTCTACCTTCGCAAACTTCATCCGTCGGAAGGATGCCCAGATTGCAATGAATGTAGTAGATGTGATGCTTGGTATGGGTGTGCCTATAGACACAATACACGATAACTTTCTAACCACATCTCAATACAGCATAAAAATACCAAAGTTTTACAGCAGCATCTTTCGTAATATGGGCCCTCCAACCTATTGTAAAAAGGGAGTTAGATGGACCAACTGAGGGTTGCTTTGCCAATAGGGTAATCCCAACAGAGATGCCTAATTATTACTTAAAGGCTAATGTTCCTGAGAACATAAGCAAGAAGATGAAGGCAACTTGGGAAGAAAGGATCACGGGATTAGTGACCTCTTACGAGGACTATACTCGTTATGTAAGCGGTAATTATCGATACCCTAACCCTAGGGAATGTTGGGAAGCTCATGAGCAAAAGTGGGATAAATTCCAGTTACAGCTAAGAGGAGGGGATAAAATCCCATATTTTTGCATTTACTATTAAGTATGAAGAATATGATTATGAAACATAAGATGATGGCATACAACACTGACAGCGCTACTACTATACAGTATTTATTCAATCGCTTGTATCAAAAGATTGAACAAACAACACACCTAGATCCGTATCCTTGGC